CGGGGGCCGGCGCCATGGCCGAGCGGGGCCGCTTGGGCCTGGCCGGCGCGCCCGCCGCGCTCAACACGCCGGTGCCCATGAACCTGTTCGCCACCTGGGAGGTGGATGGCTCCAGCCCCAGCTGCGTGCCCAGGTACGCCGCCCGCCCGCCGCTTTGTTCCCGCGCGCACCTGCCGGCCCCGGGGACCGGTCCCCGGGGACCTCGCGCCCGGGCCCCCTCCCGGGCCTGCACCCCCGCCCGGCCTCCTGGGACCTGCACACCGGGCCCCCCCGCCCCGGGTCGTGCACCGGGACCACCCACCCTGGGGTCCCCACTTGAAACCGACCACCCCGGGACCCCCACTGGGGGCCTGCCCCGGGGGCCGTCCGCTCCGGGATCCCCACCCCGGGCCGTGGCCTTGGCGCCCCACGTCGGGTGCGCGCCTTCTCTGCGCGCGAGCCCAGACGCGTGGATGGTTCCTGAGGTCTTGGTCCAGTGCAGCCGAGGAAGCGGCGCCGGCTCTCACAGGCCCCGCATTCCGCGGGGCTCTCGCGGGCGCTCACCTGGCTCGCGCCCGTCCGGCATCCTTGCACCTGCCTACCGGTGCGGTGCCGGTGGAGTTGACTTAGGGTGTGGTGTCTCTTCTCTCCAGCGGGTACCATAGATTTCCTTTTGCGTCCGGCCACACTGTCACGCCTGGGTGACCTGGGAGTCACTCTCGGAGCACGCAGCGTCCAGAGGACACGTATCTGGGACCAGGGCTGTACTGCTTCATCCTTCTGAGGGTCTGACCCTACCCCTCTGTCCTGCTGGCCGGAGTGTCCGCCCTTTCTCCGTTTGCACTGTGCTTTGTAATTTGGGGACTTCCCTGGACATAAACACTGCTCCTTGCATCATGCCATCGGCAGAGACGCTGCCCGCTTCACTTGGTGGAGAAGCGCCCGGTCCCCACCAGTACAGCTGGACGCAGCTCACCCATGGGGCAGGGCTGCGGCCGGCTCCTGCTGCTCCTGCCAGCTGGAAGCTCTGGGGGCTTTTTCCCAATCAGTGGTCCTTCCTGAGGAAGCTCCCAGGCTGAGGGGGAAGAGAGACGAGAGTCATGCCAGGGCCTGGTTCTGCAGTGGACACCAGGCCACGAGGGCTGCGGGCGGGCAGCCAGGAAGAGCTCTCTCTGGGGAGACCTCCAGCCGGGACCAGAGGACGTGGCCGTGTGTGCGGAGGGGGCTCTGCCGCGGCGCCGTCAACAGGTGTGCAGGGCAGGTGCTGGGCACGCAGAGGTGCCAGGATGCCCTCCCAAGCGTGGGGCCCTCAGCTCCAGGTGTGGCTGTGCCCAGTGGAAGGCTGGGTGCTCCCTCTGTGGGCCTCTGGGAGGGTGGGGTGTTCTCAGGATGTCTGCCTGCTTGTCTCCTCTCTGGGAGGTCTCACCTGCCCAGGCCTGGTCTCCGCCCTTCTCCTTCCCATCTTGGCATTAGGCCCAGTGTTGGGTCATGCTGGACCACCCCCCCCCCCCCCCCACACACACTGTGCTCCTTCTCTCTGCCACCCCGTCGTCATCAGCAAACCCCCCCCAGACCTCTTGCTCTCCCCGGGGGCACAGATGCCCGCTCCTGGCGAGTACATACACCCTCCCTCCCCCCAGAGCTAGGAGTGCAGCCTGCCTCTCCTGCACCTTTCAGCAGTCTCCTGCCGCTCTGAAAAGACCACTGAGGTTTTAACCAGAGGGAGGTGGGGAAGGCGGCGGGGGTCCGGGGCGTGGAGCTGGTCTAGAACGCCCACCCTGCTGTGTGTGTGTGTGGGGGAAGGGGCGGGATGGGGGGCGGGAGCTAGGCAGCGCCAGGGCTTGGGGTTCCACAGCTCTGCCCTGGGTGGGTCTGGGAGCAGGGCAGGCAGGTTGTTCTGTGGGCCTGGGGCCCAGCGGCCATGGGGTGGGCAGGCACAGAGCACCCCAGCCTATCCCAGCGCGGCCCTCCCCACAGGCGCTGCTGGCCCTGCTGCCCCCCGGAGCAGGCCCCTGGGCAGGCTGTCCCCCCGCCTGTTTGGAGACTGGGTGCAGAGGCACCGCTCTGTCCGTGTGCTCGGCGCACGCTCCCGGCTCTGACCACTGGAGCTGCCGGTGTGGGTGCCCGCTGGCCCCCGTGAGGCAGCGGTGTGTCTTCGCTCTGTCTGGGCACCGTGGCCGGCCCCCGGTTTGGACTAGTGACAAAGCCACCCCTGGGCCTTCTTGCACTGGCAGTAGCGTTTGGGGGGGGGGGGGCGTGTGCTCAGTGTTACTACCAGGAGGCTTCCCAAAGCGACTGTGCCAGCTCACCCCCACTGGCGTCCCCACTGCTCTGCACTCTTGCCAACACTGCCTGACTTTTAATCACTGCCAATCTGGTGGGTGTGAAATGGTATTGTGGTTTTAATTTGAATTTCTCTGATTACCGATGTAGGCCACTTGTACTTCCCCGTCAGCGAAATTCTTGTTCATCTCTCTTGCCAGTTTTTTTCTCTTGTTTTATCCCTTGACTTGAGCTTCAGTGGGTTTTTAAGGGCCAGTAATTCCTTTTCAGTGCTGTGTTGAAACTACCCTCTTCTCTGCAAGGCTGTGATGCCACCCAAGGTGCACCTGGTGTTGGCCTTGGTCTTGTCCTGTGGTCTGTCCTCCCCGGGGCTGTCGGGAGAGCTCTCTGTTCTCCCTGGGAGCTGGTGCCAGGCCCGCGGGGCTCTGACAGAGGCAGGTTCGGTTTCCTGAATTTCCTTGAGGGAACAGACTGCACCCCCTTCAGTGACCCCCAGTCCTAGCCTCCCGCTGTCCCCGCCCCTTTCGGGGATCCCCTGAGCAGCCTCCTGCCGCACCCCCCCCACCCCGGTCGACCCGCTTCAGTGGGGTCTGGGGCACTTTGAACCCTTGCACTTGCCCCCTGATTTTCCGTCCTGTTGAGGTTTGTGAATTGACGTTACAGGGTCAGACACCTCTCTGCGAGTTTCCTGAACCCGCAGGTTCCCGTGAACCCTCCTGTGGCGCCCTCTCCCTGGCTCACCGTCCAGAGGGGGCTGCAGCTGGAGTGTGAGCTTTGGCGTCCGTGTGCTGGGTCCGCCGCAGCCCGCGCAGGGCGAGTGCTGGTTGCCCGGGCCGTGGCCGCCCTGTGGTCCACGCACCCCAGCGTCGCCCACCAGCCGTTCTGTGCAGGTCCTGTGTTCCCCCATCATTTCAACTCCAGCCACTTTGGAGGCTGCGCTGGGGTTTCTCCGCGGGGGCTCGCTGGGCGCTTGTAGTGCGCTGGCGCTGGGTGTGATCAAGCTCTGAGAGCCGGATGTTGTCCTGCTCCTTTCCCTGCCGATGTGGCTCTTCCAGCATTAAACCTGCCTCTCCCTCTTGGAAACACAGCAGCGTGCCGGCCTGGAGGTGCCCTGGTCCCCTTCCCGCAGGCAGGTAGATGGGATCAGACTTTGCTCAGGCCTTCGCATCTCTGCCTGGGGTCTGTAATCTGCTCCTCCGCTGCCCTTATCCGATTTTGATGCCGAGATACCTTCAGAGTGAGCTGCCCCACTGCGTGGTCTGTGTGAAGCAGGAGTTGTTTGTTCCCTGAGCGTCCGGGTGATGGTGAAATCGCCGGTCAGGGGACCTGACTCCAGGTTGCTCTGGGGCAGGGGTAACTGCTGACTCGACTGCTTTAATGATTCCCTGCCTTTCAGTTAGCTTTAGAAATACATATTTTTGTGAATTTGTCCATTTTCTCTTGATTTTCAAGTTTATTGACAAAAAGTTGTTCCTAATATTCTTTTCCTAAAAAATACCTGCAGGACCTGTAGAGCTGTCCCCTTTTGATTCCTTCTGTTGACCGTGTGGGTGGGCATCCACACGCTGATCTATCTCACCAAGGGTACGTCGGTTTTTTTTAAATGAATATTCACATCTTCCTTTCCGTTTATGCTCTTTATTTTTGTTACGTGTACGTGTTCTGATCTCTTAAGATACATACATAGCTCCTTCTTTTTCCTCCTTTCCTTGCGTGTTCAGTTTTTTAATTGCTCATGAATTTATTTGCCTCTGGCTGCGCTGGGCCCTCGTTGCTGTGCGGGTTTCCCTAGTTGGGGTGTGCGGGGCTCCTCTGCACCGCGGCGCGTGGGCTCCTCTCTGCAGCGGCCTCTCCTGGTGCCAAGCACGGGCTCAGTAGCTGAGGTGCTCGAGCTTAGTTGCCCCACGGCATGTGACATCTTCCCAGACCAGAGATCAGACCTGTGTCCCCTGCATTGGTAGGTGGATTCTTAACCAGATAACCAGGAAAGTCCCTCTTGTAAGATTTTAAACCTGCGAAATAAGTAATGTTCTGGCTGCATTTCACAAGCTTTTATGCGCAGAGTTGTTGAGTTTAAAATCTTTTTTAAAAATTTCCATTTTCCTTTCTTTAGCATGGTGGGATATTTCAAAGTTTCTTCATATCCAAACCTTTTTCTGTTAGTTATTTTTCCATTGTTGAATTCATTTCTTCTTTTTTCATTGTTTCTAACTGAGTTGCATTGTGGTCACAGAGGGTGGTCAGTATGACACTGCGCCCTTAGGATGTTTTAGGACTGGCTCTGAAGCTCCGTTTGAAGCCAGTGTTCATATGTGTTCTGCTTGTCCTGAAAAGGGCCGTGTGTTTGGCATTTGGTGGTACCATGTTTGATACCTGTCCCTTTGGGTCATGCTTGGCTTATAGCGTCTTCAGGCTTGTTACCTTTCCTGTCTACTTGGCAAGCACGTAAGAGTCTCCGAGCCTGGAGGGGGTTGGCTGTTTACCTGGAGCTCTGTCACACCCCTGCGGAGTCACAGGCCCTGAGTGCTAGGGGCTGACTCTGCACCCAGCGGAGCTCTTCCTCAGCTTTCTGTTGGATATATTTGCCTGCTATATATTTTCCCACCTTGTTTCTTTAAACTTTCCTGTGTCCTCACACGTTGGCTGTGTGATTTTTATTTGGCACACGACTGAGCGACTTCACTTTCACTTTTCACTTTCATGCATGGAGAAGGAAATGGCAACCCACTCTGGTGTTCTCGCCTGGAGATTCCCAGGGACGGGGGAGCCTGGTGGGCTGCCATCTATGGGGTCGCACAGAGTCGGACACGACTGAAGCGACTTAGCAGCAGCAGCAGTAGCAGACTTCGTTTTCATTTAATCTGACAGTCT